GGGAAAGACAGATTGCTAAAATGCTTTCCCTAATAAAGTAAAAAGAAATGGGTTTCTGAGGCAGTGATAGCAAGAACAGATGAAGTGTGATAAGGAGTGATTTGAGGAGGGAAAGCATCAGACCAGAAAATTCTGAAGGCTGGCAGGGTCATGCTGAGAAAGTCAGCTAGAAGAGGTTCCTGGTGGCAGGGAAAGGCAATGGTCTTTTAAGTCACAGTTATGTAACATTCGATGTGAAAGTCCAGTCTTGTGCAGCCAGCCAGACATCCCTCTGTTAACTCAAGAGCGTTAGTAAAAGTCTGCTATGCAACTTTCTTATGTGACTGCTATTTTGAAGAAATCAAAGAAAAGAGGTGATGTTCTCTATAATTGATCAAAATGCAGTGAAGAACCAGAGGCCAGCCATAGTAGCTAAGTAAGCAGGAGTGAGAATGACATTTGGGGAGGCAAAAAATGGAAGAAGAGGTGACCATAAGAAATTATAAGGCTCCCCAGAATATCCAGAGATATAAGAATAACACGTGTGGGATAAGCATTGAAAGCTCTACCCAGGCCCTCAGACCTTTTTACCATTTCTGTGCTCTCCTCTGCAGGCTTCTGTGTACTCTGGTTTCTTAGGGTTATACCTTCCACTCTTTTGGGAGGACTCCCCTCAGGCTGCTAGTCAGCTTTGTAGTCACACAGAAAGAGCTGGATGCCCTGGGGGCTCATGTGCCCACAGGGTGTCCCTTCACCAATAACTGACTGGTACAGCAGAATGAAAGCCCAGTTCCTTCACCTGGAATTGGGACAAAATGTACACAAACTTATAGTCCAGGGTTCCCTTCTGGGTCAAAGTTAAGCCACCCTCTTTCGACTTTGCCTGGTCACCCTACTACGCGCCTTCCCTGTCCCATCCCGCTTACCCTACTCCTTTTCCCGTTTCTCCTTTGAGAACTTGGAGAAGTTCCTTAATAAATTACTTTCACACAAATTCTCTTCTCAGGGTCTGCTTCTGGAGAATCTGTCCTAAAAGAGACACTAAAGCTATTTTAGTTGAAGTATTAAAGAAAAGAGTGATCACACTGGATGCGAAGACTTGGACATGCTCAAGAAGAATAATTGGGTTTCACACAGGCTTTCAAAGGCATCCAAGCTGGTTATTATTGGATGGAGGGTATGTCAAGCAAAACCAGATATACCTTAAATATAAAGAGGAACTGAGAAGTTGTTCCAGAGAAAATATTGGTAATCAATAGAAAGAGAAAGGAAAAGACGGAGGAAGATGTGATATTTGACCTGGGCACTGAAGGGTGAGTAGGAAGTGAAGATGTAGTGTAAATATATCTCAGACAAGGCACCAGTATGAAAATAGAAAAGAAGCATTAATTAGAGAAGCATCAAGAAGTGATTGATATAGGGCCCTAATTTCTCATTCCAAGGGAATCAAAGTGAAAACAAAAACACTGCATTTTTGACAGGTGATTATTTATTTCTGCCATTCCACCAAATCTAAGGAAGCAGAAGCTTAAAATGAGATAGGATATAAACCACCAATAGTTCCACATTAGCAGTGGCATCAAAAATTTCAAAGATTCTTCTAACACAGGTATTTTTTCAGTAAATAATAGCACTTAAGGACCAGTAGAGTTGCTAATGAGGGAAATGTACCTAATTATCTGTTTTTAAGGGGAAGAGAGGGGAAATAGATGTACTGATTTTTAACTGGTGCTCCACTTCAAGTCTGTAGCTCCAATCTTTCAATCTCCAGAGACAGTTTATACACCTCCAGGGCCATTTTTACATCCTCTGGACTTGGGAGACACTGCATGAGTTTCCTGCCTGCGAGTACTTGTTCGCAGCCAGTGAGAACTTCCTAAAAGAGATAAAAGGATGGTTTGAGAGGCTTCTCTCCAAACTGTGAAGGTATAAGATTACTTCAGGATGCCTATTGATGACAATAAAATTGGAGTATCAAGACCCTCCTTAGGACTGATGCGAGAAATCAGAAGATACTTTGTGCATCTCAGCAAAGTATTTGCCCTAAGATCGAGACCAGCACTGCTCTAAGGCAGCAATGAAACTAAGCAGAGAAGGAACAGCACTGCAGAAGATACCTGGGGAACTTCTTCAGGGTCAGCTGAAGGGATGGATCTGATGTCTATGCGAAAGCATAGCACTTACTGTAATAGAAAATGCAGAGCTGGGAGCCAGGTTGCCTGGATCTATGGAACCCTCCTATCTAGGGGCTTGGTCTTTCTTGCTAAAAAATAAGAAAATTAGAACTTGCTTTAAGAGCTCAACATGTGCTTTGAGAGTAAAAATGCTGATTCTGAAATTGAGTTAAACAACTCAGAAATGAGTCCCAATAAAAGTCAGATCTCATCAGTGTTGGCTGGGACAGTGCTCTGGAGCAGGTTACCATTTTTACAATGTGATAGAATACCCTGAAGTATCTGCTACTTACCCACTCACACTTGGGCACTTCTGGGTACCAGGTTCTGTTCTCTGAGCAGATGATACTCGGAGAGCCGACCACACTGTAGCCAGAGTCACACTGGACAGTGACAGTTTCAGACTCAACATACTGATCCTTGTCCAGAGACACAGTTCCATGTTTTATCTCTGGTTTCAGACACAGAGCTGTAATGGAAACACGATTTTGATCATTTTGTGATTCTCAGAATAAGATCTTACAATAGGAAAGAATACTAGGGGGTGAGAAACACTGATAATAAATTTTGCCTGCAATCTGAGAGTTGTTCTTTAACTACATTTATTGTATTATTATAACAATAAAATTAATAACAACAATATTAATGTTAATGTATAGCTATCACCAACATAAAACACTATTATTATCTACACTTTGCTGGAGAGAAAAGTTAGGTAAAGACAATTTATGTGACTTGGCTATGGTTGTGTAGCTTTTAGGTGACATGATTATGATATAAACCTAGGTATTGTGGTCTAAAATCTGAGTTTTAAAAACTACTGTATGTCAATACCTGACTCTTTTCAGCATCTTAAGTATGTAATTTCTATTCTTATGCCCTTAGTATCTTTCTGTATTAAGTGGAGATAATGGTGGAAAATTAGACACTTGAGTTGCTGTTAGCCGTGTGGTAAGAAAAAAAAAATGCACACATAATCTTGGTCTCATATCAGGTCAGCTTCTCTATGAGGAGGTGATGACATGCACCAAGTACTAATGGAGATATCAGATACTTCAAGGATGTTTGGGATTTTTCCATGAGTCCTCATTCTAACTTTCATAGGAATTCACTAAAATTTTGCTGAATCCTCACTATTCTCTTAAATTAAAAATTATTATCTCTAACTCTTGAATATTGATAAAGGTAGTACTGTAGAGCAGTGTGAAAACTACAGTCCATTTAATGTGGTGCTGGGTTCATTGACTACTCATTAGAGAAAAACAAATTTTGACCGCTACTTTACACTATAAACCCATAGGAATTCCAAGTGGACTGGGGATATCAATGTGAAAGGTAAAGCAACAAAGCTCTGGAAGATAACATAGAAGAATATTTTTGAGACAAATATTTTTTAATACCGCACATATTTTTTAAACAGCACAGTACCACATACAAGTATTAAATACAGGAAATAAATAAATAAATACATACATACATACAAATTTCTAAGTGCTGCCTCTCGCTGGGGGGAAACCATACTGTCAGAACTTGCATGGTAGTCCTACCATCTTAGCAAGGGCCATCAGTAAAGTGGAGTTACCTTTACACTGAGGAACTAGAGATGACCAATGTGAATTTCTGCAGGTGATTTTTTCTTCTCCAACCAGAACATATCCTTCATCACATTTATACTGCAGCACAGTAGTAAAGGAAAAAACTGAACTCACATCTTCATAGGATCCATGGGCAATGCTAGGAAACATGTCACAGTCTTGAATGGCAAAAGAGAAGGGTAGAAGAGAATGAGCTAGAGTTTAATTAACTATTCAGAGTGATGGATTCTTCCCATTTTATAGGCAAAGTCATTAAATTATACTGCTGAGGTATGCTTCATTTACTTAAAATTACTAGGAATGATTTACTGAGTTCTTAACCACTTGCTAGACACTGTGTTAATCATCATATATATGTTATACCATATAATCCTCATGTTAACTCTCTGAGGCCGTATGAGCATCAGACCCACATTGGAGAAAAGGAAACACAACCTCACAAGGTCACAGCTAGTAAGTACCAGTAACATGAATCAAATTAAGGATTCAACTCAGGTTTGTGTCAGTACAAAGTCCACTGTCACTTTCTGGAATTCTGCTCTCGGTACCTGCTCTCGGTACCGATCGTTGGACTCTCACTTTCTACGGCATCAGTGGATGCTTAAAGGCCATAAAATGAAAGTTTGGGCTGAAGAACAATACTCTCCTGTGACTTGCAAAGTCTAGCAATGCTCCATATTTGATTAAGCAAGTAGCTCAGAAACCAGTTAGAAAACTCTTACCTCCCTCACTTAAAGACAATGTCAGGAATTTAAGACAGGTCAGGAGTTTAAATTATTTTAAGAATAATACTTGGGGAAGTATTTTTATAAAGCTTTTGGTATCCTGTGAACACCACCTGCAGTCCCAGGTGAGGCTAATGTGTGAGAGAATTTATGCTTCACATTGAGAGAAGGACTCTCAGGAGATCACTGAGAAAACCTAATGTGGCTCCTTTCAGGCTGGGGGGACATTAGTCACAGCGAACTAGTGTCCAGCTCCTGTCTGAGAAATCTAAAAGGCAAAGGATGGGCTGTCTAGTGACAGGCACTCTAAGGCTCTAAGGTGAGACTGAAGAACAGATCTCTGCTGCTTTGAGGTTGGCCTGGACTCCTGACATTATCAGAAGCAAGGCTGAGTTAGCACTTCCAGTAGATTAGAAATGGGCTGCATGAGAAAGACAGTCATGGTGGAATTGTCCTCAGGCCAGTCCAAAAGGGTCTCCTGAGGTGGGGGGAAGCCCTCTGTAAAAACAAAATAACTCTAGAAGTCACCAGATGATACCTAGGAGATAGGAAATAGGAAATGAACAACCAGAATCAGAGGTGTATCCCTGGATCAGCCAGACCCTGAACTGCAAATTGCACTTAGAAGATCCTCAGTGATGATGAAGGACCAATTACAACAAACAAACAAACAAAAAATCACAAGAGAGAATAAGCTTTAAATACCCATGAGGCCAAGAGCCAGCTCAGGTTCTTGTTTCTCTTACCTGTGCTCCTCCCAAAACTTCAACTCTGGAGGGTTCAGAAAACATAGTAACAGTAACTCCAAGTAAGCTCTGTTTTAGTTGTGAGGAAAAGAAATTCACCTGTGTATAAATCAACAGCTTCCATACAGCCTTTCTTAAACCTCAGATTAAGCACCTCCATAAAAATATAAAAATGGCTCTTAGTTTTTATAAGTAAGCACATATATGCAGTTCTGTACTGGGCTTTTCTTGCAGTGTACTTTAAAACATAAGATTTAACCATACAAATAGTTCTACCACAACACTAGTCACACTTGTGCCAGAGGATTAGAACAGGAAATTAGTTCTGTAGGAGAAGGTGGTGACAGAACTGGGCACCGGAGTATCCAGGGAAGGCATCCAAGAATAAGTTGGAGATACCCGGAAGGACGGATAGAAGGTAAGTAGTTGACAAGATGTGAGAGGCAGATGGATATTGAGGCAATGGCGAAGTCTCTGGCCTCAGAAGTTCATTACCGTAAGAGAGGGGAGGCAGAATCAGAAAGGGAGATTCACATCAGAGTTGGCAGACAATAAATGCCATTTCAGAGAGTCAGGACAATGGGTAATGGGAAGATTTGAGGGAACAGAAGAGAAAGGGAAAGGGAAACAGAAACATGAAAAAATAATTGAAAGACCTGTTGACAAATTTGATAAGGCTTTCCTCTACTACCTCAGTCTCTAGAAGAGGGGAACTTAGAGATGAAGTTGGAGGACTGAAAACCCTCAAGCATAAAGTTCTTTATCCTGTACTGATACTATAACCTAAATTAATACTGTCCCTCAATAATGTTCATGCATCTGATATGAAAAATCATCTTTCAAATATAGATGTTCCTTAATTAACCCATACTTTCCCCCTTACCAGTCTCAGTGAGGAAGAAAACATGGCTTCCACATTTCTAAATCAGTAAGCTAGATCACATAAGAGCATTCAGCCATTATTTTCAGCTCAGAATATTCCCTCTAAGCTATCCCAAATCTCCCATTTTTATGCCATGACAGCTGTTTCAGGGAACAAATTCATAAATATTTTAAAATTTATTATGAAAGTTAATTCTCCTAGATAAAATGTTAGCTAACAAAAGAGTAAAACATCACTTTGCTTAGAGGACATTTCCATCTAAATTCTGTAAAAATAAATTAATTTTCATAGTGACAGGTCTTCAGTTCTGGTAAGTTCTCTCAAATCCTTTGGCTTCTCATTCATTGCTAAAAATTTTCTTACATTTCAATAACCATGCTTTACTTTTATATAATGGTTTAGAATTCATGAAGTACTCTATATTTTTACTCTAGAAAATTTACTCCGTATTTGTAATAACAGAAAATAGTTTTGTTTATAGATGGAATTTTTTAAAATTAAGCAATAACTAAGATTGTAGATGGTATAATTAACCTACTTGGAAAGTAATTTGTTTTAAGCATTTTAGAGCATTTAAATTCAAGAAATTGATTTAAAAATTAAAGATTATTCCTTGCTAAAGCAGCCTCACAAGAATTTTTGCATTTCAACACTTTGTTATTCTAGACACTATAAAATCCTCTATCTGAATTGGAACAATTTCTTTTATACTTAAATTTTATTTCTTATTAATATAGTTCATTGCACTCTCTCAAAAAGATTATGATATACCATCATTTCACTGAATTTGTTTTGTTTTTCTTTTTTTACATCTTTATTGGAGTATAATTGCTTTACAATGGTGTGTTAGTTTCTGCTTTATAACAAAGTGAATCTGCTATACATATACATAATCCCCATATCTCCTCCCTCTTGCATCTCCCTCCCACCCTCCCTATCCCATCCCTCTAGGTGGTCACAAAGCACAGAGCTGATCTCCCTGCATTTCACTGTATTTGATTAATTCTTAATTGGGTATTTTTCTCCATATGTTAGAGAAAATACCCCCTTTTCCCATAACCTCTGTACTCACCACACAAGCAGGAAGGGCACAGCAATAGCACCAAGATCCCAAAAAGATGCAGTGCTGGGAAAATGCAAGACAAATTGGTGGCCATGGCACAGTCTCAGAGGGGCCACAGTGGCGCTCAGCTGTTCTCAGACACCTTGAATCAAGATGAGGAAAAGTAAACAACAGTTGAAATGGTGCCTAAGCAAAGAAAAGCAGGCTTGGCAAAGCCCAGCTCTGTGTCAGTAAAGGGGAGGGATTGGGGGAGTGACTAGAAGGCCAGGTGCTTGGCATAGCTCTGACAGGGACAAGCTCAGAAGGCCCCTTCTTGGGCAGAAGCATCTGGAGGCCTCAGGAATTCTGTATGTATTTACTATTGTAACCCCAAGACTTTCTTGCAGTTCAGTTACAGAACATGATGAATTCCTTTCTGGGTTTATATACATGATGTTCTCTGAGTAAACAAGAGCACATGGTGCAAGGACTTCAGCTCATGATGCACAGTGTCTGATGCACAGTTGTCTCCTCAGGAGGTAGAAGTCATAGCATGAGGGGAGATAAGATGTCTGAGAAGCAGTCCCTGTCCAGGGAGTGGTTTCTTTAATCAGGGGTATGAATTTCTCACAGATAAATAGGTTTTTTTAAAGTCTAGAAAATTATGTTTCTCCCTAGATAGCCCACAGTCTAGCCAGAACAGAGTAAAATGTCTCTCAGTGTGAAAATACTAAAGATCTTGCCCAAACAATAATTGTTCTCACAATACTTCAGTAGGAACTTCTTTTCCCTATTTCCTGGGTCTTCTAATGCACATAAAAAAGCAAATAATTCACTCTAGGAAGATATTCTAGTGTAGAAACTATTTTAGCCTGTGTTTGTAGCACAGAAAAACATGCACTGAAAGTTGAATTGTTGAGGATGATGAGTTAAGAAGAAAGGAAGATTTATTATGACTCTCAGAATATCTGAATGATGCTGGATTTGAGTGAAGCCCCAAATTTTGTCTCTAAGCACTAAAAGACAAGTGGATGGAAGGCACATGTGTTATTTTTCATGGATTATTAACCCCAAGACTAAGATTTCTCTTAACCATCTGGGACTGCCTGTCTATTCATCCAGATCATTTCCTAAATTTTGTCTCCTTTAGTGGGCCAGAAGAAACTACTAACCTGGATTCTATACTTTGCCCACCAACTGTGGATTACAGTTCCTAGAGGAGATGAAGATAGTTGGCTAAACAAAAGAGAAGACTAAGTTCTGGAAATTGTCCTAATGAGCTTCACTACTCAGCTCACCTGGAGTGACTCTACATATCAATAATAGCCAAAATGCTTACTTCTCAAAAATAAATGAGAATTACCAAATATAGCTGAGTGAACACCTTTGGCATACTAAAGTAAACAAAATTAAATTTCAACTTCCTAGATAGAAAGAAAAAATAAATAAACTTACTAAATGGCTGCTGCCTTTAGAAAGAGGAGCCACAATAAAGCAATTTAAATGATTAACCAGAAAGTTTTGCTGAGCTGCTTTTAATCTTTAAGCACATCACATACCAGAACTTTACCTAAGTTATCATAACTGATCCTCAAAAAAACCTGTGACATGGTTCTTACCTTCCTCTTTGCATAGATGAGGAAACAGGTTCAAATAGATTAAGTAAACTGTCCCTAAACATTTCAGATAATTAGCAGCTAAGCCAAATTCTGAACCCAAGACTGCTTATAAATTCAATATTTTTTCTTTATACCAAAATAATTTCCACTTACTGGCCAATAATGGAACACTGAACCAACCATTTGGGAGTAAATCAGCATTGTTGGCCTTTACTCAATAGTAGTCTCACCCTCCAGTTGCTGCTGGTGCTGCAGTTAATGGCTTGGACCTGTGACAACCTCCAGAGAATGTGCTGGGATGGCAAGAAACACCCCATCCTGATGTACCTAGGAAGTTATACCCTGACCCCCAGGAGCAACGAATGCCAACTGATATTGGAATACAAAAGCCATGACTCCTTGCCTCAAGGCTGGACAAAGCTGTGGTGCAATCTACACTCTAGAGCCACCATGGATCAGGTGATTCTCCACTTAACCTGAGAACAATCCTTGATCAGCTCCTTTCTCTCCGTATCCTGCTGCTTTATTCCCCTAGAGTTGTTTTTTCTTTTTGTTTTTGCTGAAGATCACAGCATCAAAAATTCACATGCATCTGAATGTCTTCTGAAGAAGCTGACTGAAGACAGTTTGTACCACTAATGCATCTAGGAAGCAAACTCTAAGAATGGGATTCTAGAATTGGATCATTCTTCAGCCAACTGACCATCAAGACTCCATCTCTGGTGATTCGTGAAATATTGATAGTCCTAGCTTGCTGTATCTTTGCAACGAAAAACATTTTTACCTGGTAAACTCTCATGGCATGTAGATGGAAGGAGATGCACTGGCTCTGACATTTGAGAAGTGTAATAAAAATAGCAATTATTAGGATTTTGCAAGGGACAGCTGAGTACCATTGATGCAGGCCCAGTACCCCTTGTCTGAAAATGAGAGCTCAACACAATCACAATTCAAATCCAAGTGTGAAAGCTACTAGTTACTATTTAAAGAAACCGTTATCTCAGGTAGCTGGGAGGTTAATCATGCTAAGGACCAGGTTCAGGGTATAATCAAAAAGGAATACTAGAACTTCAATAAAAGGTGAATTCTTAGCCCTGGCACGTCTCCTACTCAGACTCAGGGCCCTTTTGGAAGGAATGGTGCCTTTAGATTTTCAATGAGGATATCTGGGTAGATGCACTACAGAACCATGAACACCAGATTCCCCTAAACCCAAAGAGCCTATATAATTGGCCCCGTATCCCTTGTTATAAGATAGTGCCCCTGTTGCTTGAAGACCATGCAGAGGAATCAAATGTGACAGCTATCTTATAAGGCCATAATTGTCCTCCTCAAGATTTACCCCCTACCTCCCCTTCAGGCATCAGACCAATAGCTGGAATCAAATCTCAGCATGAACAGACTAAAGGCATGCGGGACCTGCTAAGGGAAGAGAGGAATCATATGCAGGATCTATGCAACCTAGTTAGCATGAGTTTGGAGATAGGAGAGCATGCCTAGGAGGGGATCCCAAAGCAGGGTAAGGGAGAGTTTGTCAGGATAGGGGACATTCTCCCTTAACACAAGATTTAACACCCTGGCAAGTGCCCTGAGTGTCAGTTCTTACATGTTTCTGGATGATTTGGGAAGGTTAGTAAAAATGATGGTCAAAAAAAAAAAAAATGATGGTCAATATTAAATGTGTAGAAATGCCAGAACAGCCATGGCAGGCTAAGTAGGAAGTGATCAAAGGCTCGGAGACGTAGACGTGTTAGAATGATCTAATTTATAAAACCAGAAGACCAACCTGCTATCTTCTTCATGGGAGCCCTGAGGACAATAAGGAATGTACCAGTGACAAGGACCAAAATTATACAGTAACTTAGTTGTGGCTGGCCCTCTGAAGGCTGCATCTTACGGTAGATGCTGTTATCAAACATGGCTGTTTATCAGCACTGGGGAATATAGAATCCCAGGATAGCAAGGCTAAGTGGAAGAACTTAACCTTCAAAAGCAGGTTAGATGAAAAATACTGGAGGGCTAGAACCAGGGAGATGCAAGAGATGTGCCTAGGATGCAAAATTAAATAAGAACTTATTCTCAGGTTGTGGAAACGCTGACCCTGAAAATGAGAGCCTCCTTAAGAGTAAGGCATGTAGGGCAGTAAGATTGGAATGCAGCCAAGGGAAGAGGATATCCTGACCTGTAGAATCTGTGAAGAGGGTTAATAGATATGATGTTCCTTAGGGTAAGGATCAGCCAACATGGGAATTTCTTGATATATAATTAAAAGAGGTCAAAAATTAATGATACAAAGACCAAGGTCAGCTACTTCCATTGAATGTCATGATCTTTTACTCAGTTACCTTCCAATCTCCCCGCTTGGTAATTTTCTCACCAGTTCTCAGACTGAAAGTGAGGACAGATTCCTATGAGGAAGGACTGTGCAACACCATGGCAAGTATATATATTGTATACTTCTCCAGTCCTTGCCCCAAAGGAATCTTCAGTAATTTACTTAAGTCATTGTGCACAGTGTCATGTGTGCATCTTTAGAGACTTGTTGGATCTGTACTATCTCTGGTACCTGGGAACATAAAGTGTCACCATGACCCCATTAAAATAGATGCTACAGGGGCCAGGCAATAAAAGGATTCCTAGTTCATGTCAATCTCACAGTGATCTATTGGGTTTGGGGACACACCTGGTGGTCATTTCTGTGGTCCTCAAGTGTATAGCAGTTCATAGGACCCTCACATTAGTACTCTGATCTTTGGAATGAAAGCTATCAAGGTAAGGAAACCTATGTTTTTTAAAAAAAAACTGTAAATATTATCATTTACTGTTAAAACACTGAATGCTTTTCCCTTAAGATTAGAAGTTGAGGCAAGGATATTGACTCTCATCAGTCTTATTCAGCAAAATATTGGAGGACCTAGCTAGTGCAATAAGGAAAGGAGAATGAATAAAAACATACAGTTTGGGGCTTCCCTGGTGGCGCAGTGGTTGAGAGTCCGCCTGCCAATGCAGGGGACACAGGTT